AAGAAACCTCATACTATCGGTGAAGAATTAATAAAACTTAAAAGCCACGCAGATAATTTTAGGAGAAGATGCAGAGCAAAAAGTGGAGTCTATTTCTCTCTCGATTAACACAGTCAAGCGTAGGATCGATGACACCGCAGCAGACATAAAGTCACAAATATTTAACAAAGTAGAACTATCGCCATTTTTTGCCATTAGTTGCGATGAATCCCCCGACATCGTTGATTGATTTTGTACTCCCAGTCTTTGACATCTGAAGATATATTTAATTCAATATTAAATTTTGTTGAAAAAAATGATTAGGATTGGACAGCGTCGGCCGTAGGGTAGGGCGAGCGGAGCGGTCAACCAGGGCCCCGCGCTTTCAGAAGTTTGACGGTTAACCCAATGACCCAACAGCAAGTGCGACACCCAACAGTAAATTATAGTTTGGCAAACGGATCTGCAACAGCGAAAGGAATGCGACCGAAAATATTCGATATTGCCAAATTTAACTACAAAAAAGCAATAATAATAATAATAAAAGTAATTTCAATGATTTGAAAATCGATTTTTCACAATTCCAAAAAATAATAATTCAAAATACTGAGAATTTTAATGGGTTGTTAGCTCTATTTGTATTTAATAACTATTTTTTACTACTGAATCGTATTATAAGTAAACATTTTTCCAAAGATCTTATCTACATCGGTTGAGCTGGCAACAACCACCCGAAAGGTATATTGCTATATAAACGAATCTGATTGGCGCATATCCTCACATGTTTTGTCGCCATGAGAAAATTCGACTCCCTATTGGGTAGCGTCCCAGACAATTTTTGGTCCTTTCTTAGAATATCCATACTATTGAAAAGTCCAGTGGCGTAGGTTTTATCTCCGTTGATTGTCGTGTATAAGTTTTACAACTATTATTGTTAACTATTTATTGTTCTATTAAGTTTGTATGTTTAGTGCTGTGTGTTTTTGAATAGTTTAGTGTTTTGTTATTTGATATTGTTATTCGTTTTAGTATTATTTTTTTAAAATGAACCAATTTACTCGCGGAAAGGCGCTTCATAGCCAAACAAGAGAAGTGATTGCGAATGTTTATAGGTTAGTAATAATAATATGCAATAATTGTAGTTTTTGACGACTGAGTCTGAATATAAATAAAAGACAAGGAAATGCTAAGCTAACATTCTGATGATTATTTATAGGGTTTGCGATGAGGAAGCGGCAAACAATTCCCTCAACTTGCCGCTTAAACGTAAGCTTGACAGGGTGTCCCTTTATACCGGAGTCGGAGTATCTTCTGTTAGGAAAATTCATAACGAAGATAAAGAAAGACTAGAAAATAACCCGAATAAAATGTTATCCAGTCCCGGAAAAAAAAGACCGCGTCAGTCTCTTGTTGAGAAAGATGAAGATTTTGATTTTCAGATTATTAGACATTTGATAAACAGATTTTATCTTGAATATAAAGTTGTCCCGACAACTAGGAAGTTATTACAAAAGTTGCGAGAAGACTCAAATTTCCCCTATTCTAGGGAAACACTCAGGAGTTTATTAAAATCAAATGGTTTTTTTTTGGCGCAAATGTCAAAATAAAAGAAAAGTTTTGATGGAGAGGCCCAATATATTGCAATGGAGGTACAAATACATCCGTGAAATACGTAGATATCGTGAAGAAGGGCGCAATATAGTTTATTTGGACGAGACCTGGGTGGACAATGACTTGACTTTCAAAAAATGCTGGCAGAGCGAAACTGTTTCTGGTGTAATAAGCAGTATAGGTTCTACAGGTAAGCAAAAATGCTATATATATGTTAAATTTAACTCTGATTTGTAACACATTATATAATCGTCTTGTATATTTTAGGTCGACTCATTATAGTGCATGCAGGTTCAGAAAATGGATTTGTTGACAATGCCTGTTTGATATTTAAGGCGGGATTAGCTACAGGCGATTACCACGGTCAGATGAATCGGGAAAATTTCACACGCTGGCTCACAGAAAAACTCCTCCCGAATATACCTGCCAATTCGGTTATAGTATTTGACAATGCTCCATATCATTCCGTTCAGTAAGATAAAACCCCGACAAAATCATCTTCGAAAAAAGATATAATAGCCTGGTTGACAAAAAAAGGTACTTATGACTCAAAACATGCATGTACATATCAAACTATACAATACAATATTTTATAGGCATAAATCATGAGGCAACTGCCAGAAAATTTGACTTGTTCGATCTGGTCTTACTTCATAAGCCCCCTGACAACCAAAAAAATTATGTAGTTGATCGGATCATAAGATCACATGGACATACTCCTCTAAGAACACCTCCTTATTTATGCGAGCTAAACCCAATACAATTAGCTTGGGCAAAGCTTAAATTTCATATAAGAAGCCGCAATACCACTGGAAACTTCAGTTTAACCGCACTGAAAGAAGTTACTCAGGAAGCGATGTCCTTAATATCCATTAATGATTGGCAGAAATTTTGTCAACATGCTAGGGACATTGAAGATAAATTTTGGGAAAATGATCAATTTATGGAGGAAATGGAACCAGTTATAATAACTATAGGGCAAGATGACGACAGCGAAACTGATGACGACAGTGACGATGATGATAATGATGAAGTTGACGAACACCAATGCTAATTCAATAGGTGAAATGTAATTTTGAAATGCTGTATAATGTAAGTATTATTTATTACAGAGGTTATAAGTTAAACGGATATGAAATGTGTTTAAAGTTCTTTGTTTCTATTTAAGCGACACCGATGCTCTAGAAATATCCACATCAACAGTCCAAAATTGCAACAATAGGAATCCAGAAAGATGCGGATTATAAAATAAAAATTAATTCTGGTCATGTTTCGGCTTGTGGCACTTTTTAAAGTAAATGAGCTTATTATAAGATCGCGGATGTATAATATATATATATATATATATATATATATATATATATATATATATTCTCAAGGTAAAAAACCACGTTAAGTATCTATTTGTATTTGAACAATATATTTTATTTACGGCTTTGACAAAAACGCTAGCTTGATTTAGGTTTTAAATCGCGCAGTTATCATGATTTTTTGAATTGTGGCAATTTTGGGAAGTGAGTAGACATTTTTCCGTTTGTTGAAGTGTAGAAACAAACTCAAGTGTTTTTTACATGGTGTAGATTGTAGAGAACAGCTATTTTTGAGTTTACCCGAGACTTTATTTATTATTATGGACAATGCTCCATATCATTGTGGGCTTATTGAGATACTCCCCAAATTTAAAGTGAAACATAAACGTATAGTTTACTAAATTTAAACCAATTATGAAATAATCCCAAACTTTTATAAAATACCGCACGCCGCTGGCATTTTATGAATGAAACCAGCCATGTTTTGCTTTCCCCTCACCGATACCCCGATGTTGCAGATCCGTTTGCCAAACTTTAGTGTAGATGCGCTGTTAGATGCAATAGTTCCAAACACGAATACAATTTATAGAATCTTGTTAACATTGCCGTTTATATGGTTTGGCTACGTTATCAATAGAAATAGCAGAAGCAAAAGATTTAGATTTTGAAGACTTATATTTTTGCAGAAGTAAAGTCAAGAAAAGTGAAGTTTTCCTAATGTAAAATTATGTATTTGTACAATTTATGTAATTTCTAATTTTATTAAAGTTGTATAAAATATAAAACTATTTATATTATTATAAATAATAATTTTCCGAATTTCATTATTCTGTATTTTGATCGTTTAAATATTAAATGTTTCATGTTTTACTTTACATGATTACTAATATCAACCAATACTCAATATGGCACTTTTTTGAAAATGTTTCACGCCTAAGAGGGGGCCTCATTTTCGCCCCAGTTGTCTGGAGGAGTAAGGCCGGCGCTGCGATTGGAAGAAACTCATTGGGCTTTGCACAGATGGCGTACCTTCAATGATACTTGTACGATCGGGCTTAGCTAAGAAGCTCAAGGAAGAAAATCCCGCAATGGTTAGTACACATTGTGGTATTCATCGGCAAGCTTTGGCTTCCAAAACATTGCCACAGAAATTACGCCAGACTTTGGACTCGGCCATCGGGATTGTAAACTACATCAAGAGCACCGCTTTGAACAGTCGGTTATTTACTTTACTTTGCGAGGATCTCGATTCTGATCGCAAAGGTCTTCTGTTCCAAACCGAAGTACTCTGGCTGTCCAAAGGCAGCATGTTGCCTCGCCTTTATGAATTGAAAGAAGAAGTGATTATTATTCTTGAGTTCAAAGAAAAACATGATTTCTTGGCAATGTTCAAAGATGACACATTTCAATGGAGGTTGGCTTATTTAACTGACATGAAATTGTTATATCACTAAAAATAACATACTGGACGCGAATTTAAAAGCTGACATAAAAACTCATTTGCAAGCGCTGGAAGAAGAATTTCACCGATCCTATCGAAACAAGAAATCCATTTGTTGTCGATGTGTCAAAATTACCAGAAGAAGTTCGGGGAGAATTTCTAGAAATGAAAGCTGATTCGTCCATGAAAGATCTAGCATCTAATACTGGTTTTAAACAATCTAATAATATGTGTATTATCAAATTGATCTTAAAAATATATTTTCCTTGTAATTTTAAAGCGATTTAGTTTTGATAAGTTCAATTATGTGACGTAGTTCTCAAGGAGTCTCTCCTAGCGTAAGTAATATAACCCTTTAATAAATGAAGAGTGCAAGTTACAAGGGATCTAAGTGTCATATACCCTGATTTAGAGTTTATGGCTTATAAAAGCTCAATTTGTTAAGCCCTATACACTCATAAAGGATCTAAGTACCAAGAACTGCATAATAGGTTTATAGTGGGTCTAACAGGCAGGGCTCAGTCTAAGTTCCACAGACCGTTTTAGTCAACAAGGGTCTATGAATCTGTGCGTACTAGTTAGTCAGTTGTACAGTATTTCTCGTCTGTTTCTGCTATAGAAATTACAAGGAGAGGGCGTAAAAACGGTGGAACATAAATCTCGAACTGGGAAAAATCATTAAGCCAAGGACCTGTCCAGCAAGCATTGTAAGGGAAAAATAACCTCTTCACTCGTCCGTCTTCATTCGACAACAAGCACACAAGACAAAGTAGAAATGGCTGGTGAAAGAAGGGTCTTTGTTTTACCATCTGAGGTATGTATATAATTTTTCTACGTTACTTTTAAGCCTTGTGCTGTATTGTTTGTGTTTGATTCACGACTTAGAGATGTTTTTCTTGTTATTACAGCTCGACTTACCCGACTTTGAGGTCATGATGGAGGACATGCCTCAAGCATCAAACGTGGGAGTGCCGGATGGTAGAAGATACTTCATAATTCGATTTAGAGTAAGAGGATTTTTTCTTCTTTGTTTTCTGGTTATTACAGCTGGATTCCAGTGATGAAGAAATGGAAACAAAGGAAGGAGAGGGAAGAGGAACCAACTCAGATGATGGAGGACTCAACCAGTATATGGGCTTCGTTTCCGGTATCCGATGTAAGTGTATTTATATTCATTTTTTACACGCCTCCCGTCCAAATCTAATTCCCTTTGACCCTCCATGTAGTATCCTTATGAGCCCTATCCTTTACAGTTTGTGTTTGAACTGTTACTATAAATGTATGTTTCTCTACATTATAGCCAAACGATGGACCATGCGACACCACAAGTGGATTTTACGTCGACGATCGTGACGATGATAGGTGTAGCATTGGGACCTTTGTTTTGGCCGGTGGTGACCCAGATCAGGGTCCCACACATCCTGTTAGTCCTGGACCGTGTCAAACATCGGGGATTCCGGATGAGGAGAGCATCGTCATCAAAGACATTAGATTATTCGCAGATGATATGTTCTTATCAGACTAATCATCTGATCTGTGATCAGATCTCGATGATAATCCGGAAGGTTAGTCTACTAACAATATTTAGTAAGACTTAGTTTAGCTGAATGTAGTTGTATATTCCTTTTTTTTCTTAATTATAAGTGGTATATGTATTTTCTAAGTTAGATTCAAGAAATTGAATATAGACTTTACTTTAAAAATAGTACTGTGTTTCATTGAAAATATACCTTCACCATTGGAGATTCATCTTAGTGTTAACTGTTCAAGTAACGATCCTCTAGCACGTCAGTTAGCTTAGATACATCTTCCTACCTAAAGCTGAATTGAGAATAGCAAATACAAAGTGTTCGTTAGTTTACTTTACCACGATTTTTTCAGTAGATGATATGCCTTAGACTTATTTCTTCACCTTTCTTTGAAACTGCTTTCATAAATGCAGTTATCGTGGTATAGTAAAACTGAACGCTATTAACTTAATGAATTTTGTTATCGAACAGACTATGTTAGAAATAATATTAGAAAAATAATCACCCCCTTTCATGTCCAAAATGAACACCGTAGTTTGCTTAGGAACAGTGACGTAGTCTATTGTAAATTTTGGCAATTTCACGTCCAAAACAATCAGGAAAACTGAAAGTACAGTCAGTATACAAGAAATAAGCGCTCGTCGATTTTAAGGTGAGATGTATTTGTATATTAAGATTGAGTGACATTTAGCACAACTGCATTCAACCTGAATGGTTTTAATTCCATTATTTTTGTCCAGAATATGTGCTCTTGGAACGGTATAAAATGAAAACCTTTAATCCTAATGTTCTTCTGTCGATTGACTAAATGGTTTTATTCAATTTCCGACGATTTTGCTCTCTTGAGACGCTGGAAGCCATGATGAATACAATACATTGAAATTATAAATTTTCAATTGAAATGCATAATTACGACTAATTTTGACATAAAATATTTGAAGCTATAGATATAACTATCTTTCTTTCAAGCTGGTGTTTTCCACGTCTACAATTTTTTTTTTTCGTTTTTTGAATTGTAAACTTCAGGAATTTTGAGGCCACTGAACTCCTAGGACCTTTTTTGTTAACATTTATCGACAAATTTTGATTATTTTATAATTACAGATACGTACCTAGTAGTGTTATTTAATATATTATGTAAAAATTTGTTTGCCTCTTATATTATCTTTAAACTGCTTAAACTTTTATGTAATAAGAAATGAGTATTTAGTTTTGAAATCCATTTTAGTTTAACGTTTAAGTAAATTAAAAATATGTAGTGCATTTAACAAACACAAAGTTCAATTTAAGACTGCGTGTTTAAGATGAATTTAAACTTGTTATAAAATTACCTCTGCAGAATTTTTAAGGAAATTTGCTCAAAATAATAAAGTTTAATGACAGTTTCTATTTTTTGTTTTATTGACCCATTTCAATGTGGGCCTTTCTATGCTGAAGGCGATTCTATTGCATCATTAAGGTTTGTTTAAAAACCAATTGATTTTAGTTGCAGTGATATTTGACACTCATATGCAGATCACTGGATACTAGTCACGAAATAACTAACTTATGACCTGTTTGATCTCTGAACTCCATGTACGAGGGATGTCTTTTAAGTTTTGCATATGGAAATAAAACACACGGTAGGTAGTTTTAAATGACTTTATTGTTTTTCGAATTATTCTCCACGAAGATTAATACACAGCTGCATCCGCTCGAACCAATCTTCGAAGCACTTATTCGACTCGTTTGCTGGCAGATCCAAAACGGCATTTTTGAATGCGTCAACTGCTTCTTCTGGTGACTGAAACCTTTGACCACGCAGTCTGTTTTTAATTTTCAGGAAAGTAAATAAATCGTTATGACCTAGAGCGGGACTATATGGAGGATGGTCCAATAATTTTACGTTTTCTTCCGATAAATACTGCCTTGTTTTTTGGGCTGTGTGCGAGCTTGCATTGTCTTGGTGGAGGATGATTCTTCTTTCGGGGTTGAGTTTTCGAAGCTCGGTGATGACTTTTGGCAAACAAATGGTGGTATACCAATCCGCAGTAACAGTTCTTTGCTCATTAAAAGGAATTGTTGCAATATGACCCGCTTTTGATACAAATGTCGCGACCATCTTTTTCGAAACACTTCGAGAACGGATGACTTCTGTTAGCTTTTCTTCACCTTGGAACATCCAAACAGCCGACTGTCGTTTATTTTCTGGTTCATAACAGTAAATCCACGAATCATCACCACTAACAATGCTGTAAAAATTTTTTGAGTTTCCGGAATTGAAGCGGTTAAGCGTTTTTTGACACCAATTAACCCTGGCTGCTTTCTGCTCTTTAGTCAACAGGTGGGGTATCCAACGAGAAACTAATTTTCTTACTCCTAATTCTTCATGTAAAATTTTTTGAATTGAGGTCTTTGAGATCGTTAAGGACGCCTCAATCTCGCGATATGTCACATGTCTATCTTCAATGATGTTTGCGTACAGCATCGACGTTTTCCTGGGTGACTGCCGTTTTTGGTGCACCCACCCTGGGATCGTCGCTAAGACTCACCCATCCACGTTTGAATTCTTCATACCAACGGGAAATTGTCGACTGATGTGGCGCTTCATTACCGAAAACAGACAGTAACTCAGCAAGGCATTCTTTTTGCGATAATTGTCTCTGAAAGTTGTAATAAATTATGTCGCGAAATTGTCCTCGGTTGAGTTACATTTTTCTAATGTCTTGGTAACACTGTAGTGAGAACACTGCACGTATTGTTCTGAAACTTTGAATTTAAGTTTACTAAAGAGTGAGGTTAGGATTCAGTACTGACATTCGATCCGCGCGGCCTACTATGTTGCTATATGCAAAACTTAAAAGACATCCCTCGTAATCCTCTTATTATTTTATTATATTATTTAAATTCTGCAGCATGATTTTTTTTTATTATTACGTAGGTCCTGAGAATAAATGGATATCGCATAGGGATATTCAACATTCTCTCGACTGGCTCGGTTAAACTTGTGCGGTTTTAAGAAGGAACATTTATATAAAGATGGGTCTTAACAGGATTTCAAGCATTTTAAGAAAACTGGAGACTAGGTTTTATAGGCACACCTTCCCTCCTCGATCTGATACTAAGCCCATCACTTCATTCATTCCTATTTCAACCATAGCCGATCAAGTGACGGTAAGTAGAATTCAAATATAATATAAACTCTAGATAATTAGTAGAAAAAAAACCATGAACTCAAATTTGAAAAAGCTATAATATGATATATTCATTTTCAATGCAAATGTTCCAGCATCACATGTGTGTAAGCGAAAATCCGACAAATTCATCAGGTATTGGGATTTTCCTTTTTTTTTTATACTCCAAATACCACGAAGGCTTAAGGCCTAAGCACCCATTGGGTACCGTGGGCCTAATTGATCTCTCAAAAAAGGTTTAACAGGCTACCCTGTCAAGGAGGCTTTTTCAAACGTACGTTTACATAAAGTTTCGTCTTAGAGAATCGCTCAGAGAATTAACCCTTGAAGTTTACACAGACAATTTATTACTATCTTAATAGACTTTTCATTTTAAATGTGAGTTTAGATTTTGTTAAGCCGATAAATACAACCGATTTGATCCGTTGCAATTTGATATGAATGAATTGCTATCCACAAAAGTATTCAGAACATCCTGTCATAATTTTTCAGCCACTTCACATCTTTAAACGTTCTTTGAGGATTGAATGTCGTTTGCGGGATGATCTTTATTTGAATTTTGAACAATAATGCTCTATCGAAAGACATTCAAGGACGGATTTAACATTTGCATGTATCAATATGCTTTAACAGTTATCACAGGCTGCCCTCGATGTTCCATTTGCTAGCCGTACCCATTTAGAGCATTTTGATGGTCAGTTTTGGATGGCTTAGTTTTTTTGCTGCATGATAGTAAGCAAGGCAAAGTAGTAATAAAAGTGTTTACTTTCTCAATTTACCAGCGAATAGTGGTTTTACAGCAAAACGGACTAGCCAATTACTACTGGCTTTGACAATTTGAAAGTTATTTTCCTCACAATCTGTAAATTACTCGACGGTTTTTCATAAAAATGAGTAACAGTAGATTAAAAAAATCCAAAGAAGGTAAGATGCCGCTAATAGGCCAGTTGAAAGAAACAGTTGAAAATGAAAGTGCTCTATCTTAAAAAGCCGCGCTTGTAATAGGATGACAAGGATCTACGATAAGAATAGTACTGTCAGAAGAACATGAAAATAGTTGTGGGAAAACGGTAAACAAAAGTAAATAAAATGCTTATATGACATTTAGGTAAGTAAATAAATATGGAGTCGATGTTGCTGAGTCTATTTCGTAGTCTATAATAACAGGAATACATATATCTTTTCTTTTCCGGAAAAGGTTCACTAGTTCACTGTACTCATCATAGTGAGAGACCGTTAAATAGTTTACAGATAGTAAGTAACATTTTCAAGCTGTATAATACGCCCAGACTATCCAAGTTAGCGTTGTAATACTGTTTGCCTACATTTAGCTTAGCTCACTCTGCTTTAAAACCAAGGATTCA